ACTGCGAGTTATGCGAGGGATGATTCTCGCCATGACCTCTTCTCCCGAGATCTAGAAATCTAGGGTAAGGGTTTTCTCAATTTCTCAATTTTGATTGATGAAAAAAAGAGAGACATGAAACGAAGGGGTTTAAAGTTCCTGAAGCGGAAACTGAAAGTGGGAAAGCAGGGTAGCTATTTGTAAGGAGGATGCTATAAATTGAACCGAAGCGGCGAGGTAAGTCGAACACGGTGGGTTCCCCGAGATTTGCTGGACCCAATTTCGTACCCTCTCATATAGATTGGGACCCAGCAGTGAGTTGGTGGGTTTCGTGTGCGGAAAGGACAAGGGCGAGATTCTCCCGCGGCAAGCGAAGAGGGTCCGCACGCGTGACGCCATCCTGGGGTCTGGTTTCCGGTGAGCATACCGCCTGGGCAGCAATTTGGAACGGAGATCAGAGAAGGTTAACAACATAATAATTATGGATTGTTATGGAGTTGAGATATAATCCGGTTTAGTGGAGATGAGTTATTGCTCATCTAATTTTTTATACATTAATTTTTACTTTAAGACTTTGTGGTACATATCACTACTAACTTTGATATATGTTAGGATTATTTTGATGTAGGTTTTTTTAAAATAGGCCAACTTTTGTAATATATTTAGCAAAACCAATGGTTTTGCTAAACATTTAGTAAAGTCGACCTCTTTTTTGCCCGCTCATCAAAGTTGGCCAAAAAAGAGGTTGGTTTTTCTGAATATGTGTTTCAAAACATACGGAACTACTAGTCTCGTGTGTTTAGTAGCCGCTAATTGGCCACTAAACAAGACTCAGAAAATCTGGATAGTTTTCAAAAAACGCATAGGACTACTAGTCTCGTGCGTTAGACATAGACTTTATCTCTGGCGACCAATAAATCCACAGGACTAGTAGTCCCCTGAATTTGTCGGGCCTGTTTAAGCCTCAGTTGTGCCCAAAAATTAGGCCACGACATATCTCTCTCCCGATTTCTCTCCCTCTCCAAACCCTAATTGATAAACTCTCTCCCAATCTCTCTCCCCCAATCTCTTTCTCCCAATCTCTCTCACCCATTCCCTTGATTCTCTCACAAATCACCTCTTTCTCCCTCAATTTTCTCTCTCTTATTCTCTCTAAACACATTCTATCCAAACCTAAATTGAGATCTTCCCCAAAGTTCACTCCGGCAATGTTGATCTCTAATGCCGTCTAGCCTCTTCGACCGAAGAATTTCATAATTTCATCAAGGTATAATTATCTTATTTTTTATAATTTTTTCTCTATTATTTAATTAAAATTATAGTTTAGAAATAATTGTTTATTTATAATACTTTTATTAATTATAATAAACAATAGGATTTGGTTAAATTTTGATAGATTAAAATTGATATAGAGGGTCTTTCAACTACATTTTAACTAGTAGCTAGAAATACAATATATAAAATTTAATTTTTGAAAAATATAAATAATTTGAATATGATAAATGTTAATATTTTAGTTCGAATGGTGAATGGAATACCGGTTATTTGCTTATTTAGTGAGAAACTGAGTGTTAGAATGAATAATATGCCTATATATGAGGGAGGATCTAGAAAAATATTCATGTTATCTAAAAATTGCAACTTCAATGGAATGACGAAGAAAATAGACAGAGTTACTAGAATTAATCATGCAGAGTATGCCACTAAGGTCTTCTGTAATTGTCCGGTAAATGGAAAAAAGAACAATTGCTGTAGAGATCACCAATGATCAAGAACTGAGTGACATGATACAATTTGCAAAAAATCAAATCTCAATCGAGTTGTTCATTGAAAATATTCCAATATCCGGTGTTGCCCAAGTTATAAATGCTCCTAAAGAGTTCTCCTACATGCTTGACTTAGAAAATAACTCGAGCGAATTCATTTCATCTCCAAGTGTTGTGCACTTAGAAAATGTCTCGTGTGCAATGACATGGACTCAACCTTCCTATTGTGCAACGTCAAGTGGTATGTTCCACAACGCTTTAGGTCATGTTACGATTAATTTACCGATTGATTCGTTTATAGAAGAGGATGAGTATGCAAATGCAAATCGTGATTATGAAGATACTGAAGAGGAGGAGCGTCTTGACAACACGCAATATGCATTTGGAGGAATCGATGAGGACACCCGTTGGATGGATGAATTGTGTAAATAACGATTATGTTGAGTGTGAAGAACCATTGCTAGAAGGGTTTCAAAAGAGTTTCAACATATAATAATAACACGATATAGCTGGACTCGAACCTCTTGAAGTAGCAACAATGATATGAATTGCATCTTCCATAGCCATTGCTCTGTAAGAAGTTATCGAACTTTTTGTATCACTGTCTCGGAGCCTGTTTCAAACGTCTCGGAGTCTGTTTCAAACGTCTCGGAGCCTGTTTCAAACCATACAAGCTCTTCTTGAGCCTACACACCATCTCTTCTTTTCCTTCTTCTACAAAGCTAACAGGTTGCTTCCTATAGATTTTTTCATCCAAGTCACCATAAAGAAAGATAATGTTCACATCTATCTATTCAATGTAGAGATTTTCAGCAGCTACTAAGCTCAACATCACTCTGATGTTTGTAATCTTCACGATGGAGGAAAATATCTCCGTATAGTCCACTCTTTCTTGCTGTTAGAACCCTTTCACAACTAATCGGGTCTTGTACCTCTTACTTCCATCACTCTCCTGTTTGACTCGGTAGACCCACTTGTAAGGTTTTTTCTGTGCAGATAGCTGGGCTAACTCCCATACCTCGTTCGAGTGGAGAGAATCCATCTCTTTTTGTATTGCATGCTCCCACTGCTGAGATTCACTAACTTACATAGTCTCCTCATAGCACTCTGGTTCTCCGCTATCTGTCAAAAGTAATTAATCAAGTGATGAAAGATATCTAGGATTCGGTTTGGGTATCCTGAATTATCTCCTAAGCTTCACGTCCTGGGTAGTAGTCTCTGCACCTGGAGTCTTCTCCGTTTTTCGATCAGAACTAACACTGTCCCCCCCTGCCCCCCCCCCCCATCTAGAAGTTCCTCTAAATCCATGTACTTGGATCCACCTGCATCCTTAATGCTGTTCCCACTGCTTTGGCTATCATTAGTATTGTCCATGTCATTGTACATCACCTCTTCATTGAATATCACATCTATGCTCCTGATGATTTTCATGTTCTTCTCATCCCAAATACGATATCCGAACTCATCAATATTGTATCCAATGAATGTACACTTTTGTGACTTAGTTTCTAGCTTGTTCCTGACATGGTCACTGATATGAACATATGTCACACAACTAAATACTCGTAAATGTGAGAGATTAACCTTCTTGTCACTCCAAACCTCTTCTGGAATCCCAAAATCCAATGGAACTGATGGCCCATGATTAATCAGATAAGCTATCGTATGCACCGCGTCCGCCCAAAACATCTTAGGTAGACCTGTATGTAAACGCATGCTCCTCGCGCGCTCTGTCAACGTCCCATTCATCCTCTTTGCAACGCTATTCTATTACGGTGTCCCTAGAGTAGTCCTCTCTAAACGAATCACGTTTAGGCTACAGAACTTCTTAAACTTCTCTAGCTTATATTCTCCACCATTGTCCAATCTCAGACACTTTACTTTTAGATTTGTCTCGTTCTCTACCATGATTTTTCACTTTTTGAATATCCCGAGCACCTCTGACTTGTGCTTCGTGAAGTATATTCATATCTTCCTCGAGTGATCGCTGATAAAGGTGACATAGTACACCGAACCGTCAAGAAAAGACATGCTAGCTCGACCCCAAATATCTGTATGGACAAGCTCTAGTTTCTAAGCTATAGGTGGTCTTTCACTCTTCTGAAAGTTAACCCTCTTCTGCTTCCCGTAGATGTAATCCTCGCAAACATTAATTTTAACTGAATTGATACCGGTTAGTTTTCCATGTGAGTGTAGAATCTTCATACCGTTCTCACTCATGTGTCCCAGTCTATTATGCCACAGATCTGTATTCTCCTTAACAGTTGTAACTGCGAGGGTGTCACTCGCATATGAAGTAAGGTAGAGAGTTCATGTTTTGTTACCGCGGGCAACTATCATAGTACCGTTGGAGATCTTCCACGATGATACGAGTCGCCGTGCAAGCACTCTTGATCGCGGAATTATCAAGAGTGGGTAAAGAAGAAAACGACTGAAGAACACAAGAGTTATAATTAGAGCGAAGGAAAATACCTTCTCTAGATTATGAGAATCAATTGGATTTACAAAATCTCTCTCTCACAATCTCTCTAGATCAAAGAACAACCTCCCTGATTTCTTTTCTGATTACAATCTGAGTTCTAAACCCTAGAATAGTCGTGTTTCTATTTATACTAAACAGAAATCCCAACTGGAGCAGGAAACAGATCCAGGCCCGAAATCGCTCCGCGGTCGACCGCAGTGCCCAAGGCGCTCGACCGGCCAGAACGACGAAAACTGAAAAAATCGATTACAGTGTTTCCGGTCGACCGCAGCGCCATCATCGGTCGACCGCTGTTTTTCGGTCGACCGTAGAGCCTTCATCGGTCGACCGCTCTCAGTCCCGAGACATAGTCTGGGCCTGTGCACTAAGCGGTCGACCGCTGTGACCAGCTGCAAATCCTGCAGTTTTGCCGAATCCTTCGACTTCGTCGCCCCCAATGGCCTCGTCCACGACTCCTCTACTCTATTCTTAAGATACCATGAGAATCATCTATCCTCAAGCTCCCATGAGGATCGCTAAGCTCCCGAAGAGAAGATACACCCGTATCATGGGTCCCCCTTTAGGAACTTGAAGTCTCATTCAAGTTAGAACTTTAGCTGAGGGAACTCGCGAGCCCCTCCTTCTCTGTTGAACCACTTGGACTTGCTAGGGACCTGACCTTGACGTCCAATGAGAAACGACTTCTTGGTCCCCCACCTCGTCTTGGTCGTCTTCCGTTCCAAAATGCAATCTTCTTTCAGTGGCTCCTCTCTATCAAACCACAAGTCTTCAACATGCGGTAAGATCATCTTGTCATCACCTTTATCATCCAATAATGGAGGCTCAAACAACTTCAAGTACTCGGCATTGATCACCGAATACATGCCTAAGTAAGGTGGCAAATCTAAACGAAAAGCGTTGTCGCCAATCTGATCGATAATCCGAAATGGACCATAACGAATAGGCTTCAACTTCTTCCCTTCTCCTTTGATCCTCTCCTTACTCAATTTTAGCCATACCATATCGCCTTTACCAAAGTTACAATGAACCCGATATTGGTCATGCTTCGCCTTGTACTTAGCTTGTGATTTCTTCAATTGAGCTTCAACCATGGCATGAATATTTGCAATCTTCTCGAGAAATCACTGAGCACATTGTCTTTCACTCCCCTCCTTGCCGTCCACTGTGGCTTCACTTGAAAATACAAGATCGAACGGGCTCGGCGGTAAAAATCCATAACAAATCTCAAACGGTGACTTTCCGGAAGATCCATGAATTGCCCGATTAAAAGCAAACTGCAAATATGGTAAACTCTCATCCTAAGTCTTAGGATGCCGGGAATTATACCCCCGCAACATATGCACCATAGTCCGGTTGACTACCTCCGTTTGTCCGTCTGTTTGTGGATGAAAGGCCGTGCTCTTCTTCAATTTAGTGTCCATCAAACTCCACAAAGAATCCCAAAAATGCCCGAGAAAACGGCTATCCCGATCCGAAATAATCGAGCTCGGCAACCCAAAGTGCTTCCACACATACTCAAAGAACAATTGTGCTGCACCCGCTCCCGTCACGGTCTTCTTACAAGGAATCAATATCACCATCTTGCTGAACTGGTCCACCACAACGTACAAATAGTCATGCCCGCGCTTCGTAGTTGGCAACCCTCCTAGAAAATCTATAGAAATGCTCTCCCACGGCCTAGAAGGAACCGGTAATGGTAGGTACAATCCCCTCTTTCTGTTAGAAGGCTACGAAATACAACATAACTTACACCCTCCAACATACTTGGTCTCATCATCAAGCATCTGTGGCCAAAACACATGTCACCGTAGATTGAGAAGCATTTTCTGAATGCCAAAATGCCCTTGCACACGCGAGGTATGCGCTTCCCGAATCCATTGCAACCTATCACCATCTTTCGGAATGCATAGTGATGTCCCACGATACAACAAGCCATCTTCTCCAAGTGCATACTCCCCCCTTCGACCAGCCTTCGCCTGCTCAAACACACTACCGAAGTCCCTACTAGATGCATACAGCTGTACATACTCCAAAGGAACCAAGGGCTGAATACGCGTCGCCACCAACAAAGACCTTATCGGTGGGCGAGATAACATATCGGCCAACTTGTTCGTCGCCCCCTTCTTGTACCTAATAATGATGTTGAAAGCCATCAAATAGGACATCCACTTCATGTGTCGTGCCTGCTGTAGCTTCGTCTGGGCATGTAAGAACTCCAACGGCTTATGATCCGAATGCACGACCACCTCCTTCCCTAACAAGTACACCCTCCAATGCTTAATTGCTTGATATAGTGCATTAGAACTCTTGTCGTAGGTTGGGTAGTTCGCAACAGCACCCGAAAACTTCTCAGAATGGTATTCCACCGGTTTCCCATCCTGAATCAACACCGCGCCCATCGCATAATTAGACGCGTCGGTCTCTACCTCGAAAGTCCGCTGCAAATTTGGCAACGCCAACACCGGTGCCTCCGAGATCTTCCTTTTTAGCAACTGAAAAACCTCCTCATGTGTCCTTCCCCACTCAAACTGAACTTTAGCCTTTGTGAGGCTATGTAACGGTGCCGCATAAGCCGAAAAATGTCGAATGAACTTGCGCAAATACTGGCAAGCCCCCATGAAGCTCCTCACCTCAGTCACTGTCTTCGGCGTCGGCCACTTTGTGATCACCTCCACCTTGCCTGGATCTATCCTCTGCTGGCCCTTCCCTACGATGAAGCCGAGATACACCAACTCGTCCTTCCCGAACTCGCACTTTTTCCCGTTGAGCTTCAGCTGTCCGTCCTGCAACACTTCAAATACCTTCTCAACATGAATGAGATGCTCCTCACAAGTCCTGCTATACACCAAGATATCATCAAGGTAAACTATCACAAAATCCTCTATAAAGGGTCGTAACAAATCATTCATAAGCCTCATAAAGGTAGCCGGAGCATTGCACAATCCAAACGGCATCACCAACCACTCGAACAGGCCTTGCTTGGTCTTGAACGCAGTCTTCCAAGTGTCTTCCTCCCGAATCCTCACCTGATGGTAACCAGACATCAAATCCAGCTTCGTGAAAAACCTCGCTCCCTCCAACTAGTCCATAAGATCATCGATCTGTGGTAATGGGTAGCGATTCTTGATGGTTATCTTGTTGAGCACCCAGTAATCCACGCACATGCGCCAGCCTCCATCCTTTTTGGGCACCAACAACACTGGTGACCCACAAGGTGAACAACTCAGCATAATCACTCCCGCTTCCAAGAGCTCCTGAACCTGCTTCTTGATCTCCTCGGACTCCAGTACTGACGTGCGGTATAGGCCTATGTTAGGTAAGGAACTCTCCCCGGTCAACATAATCTCATGCTCTACACCTCGACGTGGTGGTAGTCTCATGATCTCCGAAAACAAGTCCGCATACTTGACCTTCAACCTATCAAGATCTCCCTCCTGGAGCTTGCTCAAGGTGGACAAGCACATCCTACTCAGCTGCTCTTCATACGGCCGAATGAACAATAAAACGAACTTCCTGCCCATGTTCACCAACCTCTTAGCCTAAGTCACTGTCACCAAGCTCGTCTCCTGTGGAAGAGATGCCGAACGAAAAATGAATTGCTCGCCATTCTTGGTGAACGTATACTTTTGGGCTCGCCGATCATATACTGCGTATCTATCCCACAAATAAGGATTGCCCAAAATAACTTGGCAAACATCCAACAGAACCACGTCGCATGTGACCTCGTCAATATACGACTCGTGGAGTGCAAATCTGAATGAACACTGGTTCACTACACTCAATCCCGCCTCCTTCTGAATCCACCCTAATGGATAGGGCTTCGGATGCTTCACCATCTTCAATCCCAGCTTCTGTACTAATGCCTCAGATATCAGATTTTTCTGACTCCCTG